CTCACTCAGGGATAGGGATCAGGTGGTTCCCATCTCATTTACGGGTTCTGCCTCTTCTTCCTCCTGTTCTCATGATGGCCCTGGTTCATCTTCACCCCTTACTAAATGAGCTGATCTTCTTGTGTATAGGGGTGACTGACACGGGCATGGGTTGGTTCTCTGGTTCAGCTGCAGTGCCTGTCGCCAGGGGCTGGAGTGGCCGCGGTGCCTGTTGCAGTACTGATCGGCATCGTTGTTCTTTGACCACAACAGAGGGGTCCTTCAGGAGACCAGGCAGAGTAGACAGCTGTTTAATTTCCTCTGTCTCCAAGGCAGCTATACCAAAAGCCCACCAGTACCCTTTTGGGTCCTGGAAATCCCCTGTGATTCCTGGTTAGGCTCACTTTGGCCTCCAATGCAGTGAGCTGTTGGGATCCCCCTGTCACTCCAGAAATACGGATGGGTCCTGCCCCTGTAGAGCTTGATGGCATTAGAGTACACTGTGCACCGGTGTCCACTGGAGCCTTGTACTCCTGTGGGTCTGATGCGCCAGGCCATCGAATCCACACAGCCCTGTGAACCTGGCTGTCCCTTTCCTCCACCTGGCGCCATCATTGCAGTCCCATGTTTAACTTATAAAAACAACAAAACAAACCGACCCAGAAATCTTTAGACATGTTAACTGCAAAGAATTTAAGAGGTTCTCAGCAGTGACCTTACCTGAAGGCAACATTCGATGGATTTTACAGACCTTCCTGAAGCACTCCCCACTGTAGTCATCTAGGGGGGTTTTCTTGTTAAAATGAATAGTTACAGGGAATTGCCTTGCATCTACCTGGAGAGGAAATACAAAACAGTGTTTGTTTGCTGTTGTAACTCCAGCACGATCATTGCAGCTTTCACAGGAGGACTAGAAATGCTCACCCTGTATTTCTGTTCAGCTCTTGGTTTTGGTAACCTATGAAACACTGGACCCATAGAAGTTATGAGTGTTGCCTATCCTGAACACCACAAAACCAAGCTAGAAATCAAAACTTTTCTCTCTTTCAGATCATCAACTCAGATTGAGGCTTTCTAGTTCTCCCAAACTGTAACTTCCCATCCTTCAAGATAATCAGATTCTGCCAGGGCAGTTTCCTGATAAAAGCGGAAAGAAAAATACCAAGTCCCAAAAGAAAAAATAGTCTAAACAAAATAACTATTTTAAAATTGATATCAGAAAGATTCCAGCACCAACTGGAAAGATTAGCATGCCCCTACTTTTTGATTCATTTTATAAAGGAAGCCCTCACTGTATTTCAGCCGTTAGATCTGACGCAGGTCTCAGCGAGGAGAACGATACCTGAATAACAGGAGGTGTAACAGAAAACAGCCTGTTGTTATCAGTGAAATCTTCAACGCGAAGGGTAGCCGACATGACGATCAGCTTCAGCGGCAGCCCCTTCTGCAGGGACACAAACATGTTACTCTGCCTGAAAGCACGTGGCAGTTAAGCTACACACAAACCCAGAGCTATTAGCAGGACCGGATACAAGTCTCTGCACCAAAGCACTCAAAATCTAAGACAACAAAAAGCACCGTGTCAAGTGACAGAAGATACACACAGCTTCAAATGCAACGTGTCTTATAATACAAAACCCCCCACGCTGCAATCCTGATGCTGACAGGGACCTGCCTCTAAACCACTGCATTCTCTCTCCATCTCTCTGACATCCCTAAGTAAGAGGAACAAATGCCAAGCACTGCCCTACAGTCCACCAGCCCCCAGCATCAGTCAGGACCAAACACTTCAGGATGTCAGCCCCAAAACGTCTCCTCCTAAGCACTGTTATTCCAGTGCAACAGTAAGCATCTTGCTAAAATTAGCACCCGCTAATTTCAATTATTTACATGTGTCTCCTGGCACTGTAAGTCTAAAATTAGTTGGATATTGACTGAAAAATTATCTGTTGGTACTGATATGTACTATTTTTTCCCTTTTTGTAGGCTCTGTGTTTCTTCAATCATACGGAAAGACAACCACGTTATCTGAGTGTTATTCCATGGTTTCTGTCAGACGTCCATCGACTTCCACATGACAGAGTCCCTCCTCACACAGAGCCTCTTCATGTCTAACATCCCCCCCTCCCCAGCACACCTGCATCTAATACAGAAATGCCACTTCTCTTACCTTTTCACGAAGAGGCACGATGCGAGACAAGAGGCCTATCAAGATATCTGTGTACATACTCCTTTCATGGGCTTCGTCAATAATAATGACTTTGTACTTTGAAAGCAGAAAGTCCTGAGAAGACAGATCGATTGCACCACATGAAACCTCACCCAAGGCCATCTTTAAGTCAAGACAACCTATGGCTACACAAACACCGACCCTGCCATGCTCATGGCTGTAGTCCCTCCCACATATCTGAGCAGAGTTTAACGCATTTATCCTATACAAAGCAGCCTAGTTTCCGAGACTCTCTTCCTCACTCTCATTTTACGCAGCAAGATAACCTAATGTTTAGGGACTTGGGCAGGAACATAAAGGGTTGAGATGAAATACATCTCCGGTGCTGAAAGGGATTTTGCTTTGAAAGGTTGGCAACAAATCCACGCAAAGCAATTGGCCTCTCCTCCTAGCTGTACAACATACTTTCCTTTTTATAACACTGAGGACAGCAACTTACCGTCTGAATTTCTTTCAGCAGCACACCATCCGTCATGAACTTGATTTGTGTTTCATCTGTAACATTGCCTTCATATCGGATTTGATATGAAACCACTCTATGAGGAAATACCAGGATGGCGACAAGAAAAAGCATTGGGAGAAACAAAAAATTCACGTTCAGACCAGGAGGCAGCCTTCAGCCTAACTAAATTAAGACTTGATGCCAAGACAAGACAAAAAGCACACCATCAGCTCCCCAGAGCCTAGCACACACAAAATGCTAGAAGCTGGGATACACAGCAATGTCACTTCGAATTATTTCACTGTTATGGGACACTTTGTCATATGGAGACAAACTAGGACCAATTCCCACGCACCATCTCCACAAAGCTCTCTCTAAAAAGTAACTTACAACCATTAGTAGCAACAAATCTGCATTTTTTTTTATAGACAACCCCACAGAGGAGTTTCTTAGAACTTTCCCACAGTTCTTCACCAAAGACTGAACAGGCAATGTGCAAGTCTCGATTTCTGTCTATCACACACACAGAGCACCTCAGCGTTATCTTCCTAGCAAGGTCTCAGCTTTTTTCCTCTCCTCACCTGTGTGACAAGTTCATTTCCTTAGCGACCCGCTGCGACATGGACACTGCGGCCACACGCCGAGGCTCGGTGATCCCAATAGAACCGTTTGAACTGAAGGGGCGAAGGAAAGAAAAGGAGGGGTTGTTTTGTTGCTCCTTTTTAAAGAGAGAAACACTTAGAAAGATGACAACAGGATTTCTGCACAATGGTTCTGAATTAAGTAGCATCGCTCACAGAGGATCGCTTTTAGTTATAGTTAGAAGAAAAAGACAGAAAGGAAGCTTTGGGATTACCCTTCTAACATGTGTATTGATCTGAAGATGCATGTATCACAGGAATTTTTTCCCCAAACATTGTCTCTGTAATTCCAGCTCACCAAACTCCAGTCCCCTGGACATCCCTCTGGCAACAGGGTCCACTTCAGAAGAAACTCAGGCTGGGGCAGCAGCGGCACAGAAGCTGGATGCACCCTGACACAGCTCGCAAGAAGCATCTTATGAGGCGCCCAAGCTTATAAATGTTACCAAAAGCACCAGACGAGCCACAGCTATTATCAAAGATGTTCTTAAGAAATATGCACATTTTCTTGCAAAGGTAAAAACAAACCTCTGTAAGCAGAGGTTAAACTATGCGAGATGGGCTGGCAATAAAGCCCCTCTGTGAAAAACAAGCCGGTGACTTTGAAGAAAACTTTCACCTTAGACGTTTCAAAAGATTGCTTACGTGGAGAGCTTTTTGCAAGTCAGTCTTATTCCCTTCAGATTTTTAAAAAGCCCATTCAACATGGCCACTACCGCTGCACAGAAAAGACCAGGTTCAGTTTAGCCATATCAGAAGAAAAGAAACAGAATCAGAAGTGACCGAGCTCAGCGTGAATTCTTCTAATTACATTTGCTGCAAATAAAAGACGACTCATACCTGGCATAGCCAGCTTCATAAAGAAACTGAGGTACTTGTGTGGTTTTACCGCTTCCTGTCTCTCCACATATGATGACGATGGGATTCTCACTAATGGCTTCCATGATTACTTGCTCTTCAGCAAGGATTGGAAGCTTCAGTCTTGCTTCCTAAGTAATACAAAACGCACATTTTAGTTGCACTGTTTTGCCTCTCGCTCTCTTTTTGTTTTCCCCAGGTTTGAAAACTGTTACCTTCCTCAGATTATAAAACCCACAAAAAGCAATTCTGCAAGCTCTGTGGCTTGAAAAGCTCTAAACCAGCTAATACCACACCAGCGTGTCCAAGGACAAGAGTCAGCAGAACAGCTTCCCAAAAAGCAGCTGGCAAGCCCTGCACTTTAATTTGTGAAACTTCAGAGTCCCTTGAGTCTATCAATATAGCACTTCAAGCAAAAACTCATTTCACAGCTCTGTCTCGCCCATTCAGACATATGCAGAGCTCTTCCCATTTCTACAGAATGTCCTACCTACAGCAAATGGAATAAAACCACCCTGCCTAAGATACAGCGTAATGGAGAGCTAAAAGTGACTTCACAAGATTTTCCAGCGAAGAACAATAAGACTGCTAACAGATTTTATATTTAAAACTAGAGACAAATGCTCATATCTTAAAACAAAACCAGTTTTCCTTCTGCTAGATTAGACAGGCTCGAAGCTCAGAAATGTGCCTGTACAACTCGCCGGAACGAGGACCCTAAGCGCACACTGCTGCGTGCAGCATTAGCAAGAGACACAAGATAACGCTACAGCGCCTGCAGTGACCTTATCTGATGGAAGATACCATAATCTCCAACCCCTTAAGAAGCACATTACTGTTCACAGAGCCTCACCTGAATCTCAGGAGACCTGTCCACTGGAACGAAAACCGCAGGCTTGCAAGGTGGTTTGTTGGAGGCCGTCTGGCAAACCGGTGCACCAGGACGAGCCAGCTGCTGGTTAGCCACTGCCTTCTTCACGCTTTCCTCTGGCTTTTCAGCAGTATTCAAATCACTGGCTGAAGACTCTCCAATTTCTTGTTTCTGCTCTTCCTTCTCCTCCTCAGAGCTACTGGGTTCTTCCTCAGGCTCCGATTCTGAATCTGAGCTGTGTCTTCTCTTGTTCGCACCACTGATGCTCCTGATCTTTTCAGGTACGGCAGTCGCTGGCTCCTGTATCATCCTAGAACAAAACATACAAAACTACGCTTCGGTCAACGTTCTCCAGGACCTCAAGCCAGACACATCTTCCACACAAACGAGAAAAGTCACGTCATCAAAAGTCACTGCCCAAGCCTGAACCCCAGTTTTACTCAAACAGGGAAGACTTCTACACCTTGGGTGTAGTGCAGCACCAGAAGAGGTTACCCAGAGAGGTCAACCCAGTTCTCCAAGGATCTCCATTCTTGGAGGTTTTCATAACTCTGCTAGGTAAAGCCTTGGCTGGCCTAATTGCAGGATTCATATCTAAGCACGCTCTATACTGATATTTATTCATTTCTTTAGAAGACATCTTTGTAGTTTAATTTATTTCAGCTTCTGCTAAATGCAGCTCTTGACAAATCCAGTAACTAAGGGCCGCATCAGTCCATGTTTTCCAATACAACAAAAAAATAAACGTTAATTCACCAGTTATGTAGTTTAGCATAATTTGTTCGAGTATGCAGATATAATTGTCACCCACCTTGTCCCTTAAGGAAGGGATGACTGAGTTTTTTAACTAATGTCCTCTCAAGAGGATGTCAGTTAAACAAGAAAATAGCTGCCATATTATCAGATAAAAATAGAAAATTATTTAAATGCATGCGTTCTGAAGAACCTGTATGCAGTAAGAAAAGGGGGGGGTGTGGGGGGGTGTGTGTGTGTGTAAGTCAGCAAAAAAAGCTATGAAGGTTGCCAAGTTTTCAACCACAGCGATAAACCGGAACAGTTCTTCCCAAATAACGCTTTACCTTTTAGTCTGATACATGCGCTCCCCGACACCCAGTTTGGAAGTAGTGTACAGAAGTTTCATTTCTGCCTCAGAAACTTGGACCTCATTCAGCTTGCTCAGCAACTCAGCTCGCTATTTGGGGAAAAAAAAACAAAATCAGTGCTTACTTTCACCAGGAAATAATTTCATTTCAAGATTTGCGCTTAATTTTAAAGGGTGTGCTCTGGCAAATCTTGCTGTGAAGTCGTAAAGACATTCCTGCTGCTACGTGGTCAGTCCTCCCTGATGAAGATTTCAGCCCTGCGCTAGAGCAAAAATAGAAGAAATGGGGACTTGACCCTTCACTGCTGCAATGAAAAGCTCAGCCGCACCCTTAAAACGACAGCAAAGAAAACTGATTTGAACTCAAATGCTGGAGTGAGGGCTGGAGCAATGGAAGCCTCCCTTCAAGTTGCTCACGTGGGACATGGCGCTGGCAGGAGGTCAGACAGCCACAGTTTTAAACTACCTCCAAAAATAAGAGTTCATTTGTCAAAGCCATTACTCGGAGACTAAAATGAACAGGAACTTTTCCTGGAAGGCTTTTACAAAGACAGAAGAGCTGTACTTGCATACAGAACATATACAACAGTTGGAAATAAGTATTTCAGAAGCACTGGCAGTAGCAGAGTTGGGGGTGCATCAAGTTTTGCATTCTGCAGCAGGACAAAGCTTCTCATACAATCTGTAAGAACGCTTTTAAAATATATCGCCGTTTACTCTGCTAGCGACGTACTTCACAACACGCATCTGTTTGGTCAGGCTCAAAGAGAGAACGGGAACCAGGACCCAGAAATGATGTGTTCCGGCAACACCTGATCCACTGAGAGGGAGGGCAATGCTTTTCCCCACTACAGTTACACTCAGGAGTCCATGGGTGGTGGCACGTTTTTGCCAGAACACCCAGCAAAGAGAAGCTCATGCTGTTCTAACATAAACTCTTCAACTTCAGCATCTGCACGCCCTCGAGAGGCCCCGGACGGTTCACACCCCAACACCGCTCGCTGGCACCGCAGAGCGGTTGCCCCGTCTCTGGTTTTTTACAACACAACGCAATCACATCGCGTATCGGGGACGGCCAGAGGCACAGGGAAACCCCTGCAGATGCTTATTAACATCAACCTTTTCCACACGCCAATATTAAGTTAATTTTATCATTTTACCAACAAGCAGCGAAGTACCTGTTTTTTCTTTTCCTTCTGCTCTAACACTTTCTGCAGGTTTTTCTTCTGTTTCTTGCTTAGGGGTTTCTTCTGCTGTTGCACAACACAGGCTACCTTTTTCTTCTTTGCTTTTTTTGCTGGCAGGACCAGGGCATTACTTCCATCGATTCCCTTCAGTGTTGCTTCATCTGAAAGCATTTGTTTGATCACTCACCTGTGCCAGGCGGATTATTTTCAGCACATTGCTTAACAGCCTTATCACAAACCACAGTAAATTTAGCTGTTTTAAACAAGCATAACCCTCACCCCCAGACAAGACAAGACAAAAAAAAAAAACCAAACAAAAAACACATCATCAGCAAGGGCAAAAGACCATGAAACTGGGGACTTGATAGCCCTGTAGCCATGAGGGCAATCTTCCCTGACTTAGGCAACACCACTATGAAATTTTTGCTTACTTGATTTAATTCTATTTCATTTTATTTAATTAATTCCCTCAGGGTCAGGGGCCAGCAGAGCAGCCTCCTGTCTCTCCCACACATAACTAGTTTTTAATACTAACAGTCTGTGTTACTAACGTTTGAAGAATAAAAATAGTATAATAAACGTGCTTTTTTAAAAGCAACATTTGAGAATGCAAATAAGCATAAAAAATTTTTAAGAATTGCTTTAATAAATTGCTTAAATGCAGTAATTGCTTCAACAGCGCTCTTAATGCCAAGCCTGTGAGATACTTTTAAATTATAATCTTAATGCTGCCAATGAAAGTATAAGAAAAATGCAGTAAAGACACGGCAATAACGCTGGTCTCGGCAACTCTAGGGTCACTCTAGCAATGTTAACAACCCAAGTTGGTGGTAATGAACATAACACTGAGGGGAGGGAGAGGGGAGGGGAGGAAGGGAGAGGAGGAGAGAGGAAGGAAGGAAGAGAAGGAAGGAAGAGAAGGAGAGGGGAGAAGATGGGATGGCATGGCATGCATGGCCTGGCCTGGCCTGGCCTGGCGA